AAATCAATAGAGGTTGGCACTATCTTTGATACTTACATAAGTAATACATTACTACATTTATATAGGTATTCATGTTAGGATGGCATTTTGTCATTCTTTCAAAAATTAATTTTAGTCATATTCCAGAGACACAGGATTTGAGGTAAATAAAGAAAATATAGTCTTTGTCATAATACAATTATAAAATTACTTGCATCTGTCTATTACATTTAAGGAAACTGCATGCTTCTCAGTTTTCTGGACACTTTTAACATGCTAATTAATAAACTCCATTAATAACATTGTAGATTGGATTTGTTTAATTCACACCTTCCTAATTACTTATGACTATTTCAATGAAACTGTGAAAATAGAATAACTGTGTAAAGTAATGTAGTATTTCACAACCCAGTCCTGAAATTAATAAAAAAGTAACTCATGCAACAAAATCTGGAAAAGTAACTAAATACTAGAATCTCAAGAGTTTTATTTTAAATATACTAGATTTGTTTGCTGAGGTACCAATGGAGAGTTTAAATATTACTTAACAAATACTGTGCTTTGCCACACTGTATAAATTTAATTTTTATTAAATGACTAATTGTGATCATAATCTCAGTGTTTATAAATAACAGAAGTAAAGTTAGCTGTGACTTAACATTGCTTTATCCGGCAGATGGGTCTCTATACTGAGTCTCAGTTGCTATATCATATAAATAATCAAACTATTAAATTATGTAAGGATAAGACCAAAATTCACTATTTATAATTTGCTTACATTATACATTAAATTTAAAATCTGCAGGAAACAAACCAAGTGTCTTTGTTGGGTTTTTTATCCAAACACTTCTTTGCTTTTATAATAATGCATATAAAGCCTCTTTTAGTAAGAAAATATATAATAAGAGCCTTTTTATCTCTCAGCTATATAGCAGCCTTAATTCTATATATTATACATTCTTATAAAGGTAACATTACCATTCACCATTTTTCTCTTGAGATTTTTCAGGGTCCCACCTCCTTACCTTATAAATGCCAAAACTATGTATTCTATATTGACTGAGATTTATGTTAAAATAGAGATATGGACTAAACATGACAACTACAGGATCTAAAGCACAAGGCAGTTTACAATTCAGTTACTCTCCCATAATATTGTTCAGTTATAAATCAGCATTATGTCCTTTTGAGATTACTTAGTAAACTAAAATTCCAGCACAGAAAATTATTTCTTCCGGTATCAGACTGTCAATGTCTGTATCATAGTTTCATAAATGCGTCAGTGTGACTTTAACATAGACGTACTTTTAAGTATTTGGGCAGTCTTCCAGACCATAATTCTGTTAAAAAAAACTGAGGTGCTGTTTCAAATTAATGCTGCAAGTTTGGGGCATTCAGGGAAAAGGTTTAGTCTGGGGAATTTTAGAAAAGCATGCATGCATCGCAGACTTAATACTCTCTAAAGGGAATGCTGGAGGACCGCAAATCGCCAGGGAAAGTTTGTAGATTTCACCTTATAGACGGTGCTCTCTGTTCTAAAAAACTAATAGTGAACCAAAATACATTGTTATACAAAAGAATGTCCTTCAGGAGAAGCTGCAAACGCATGCTTTACCGTCCTGCACTACTACTTTAATTTGTTAAAGGCAATAATCTATCGATTAAATAAACATTAAGAAAACTGAACATGGAATGGAACTGATATTAACAACTCACCCATTGAGTTAAACGAATACCTTACATGCACACTAGATTGCATTTCTTTTCGTCGTAACGTATGTTCGACTGAAAACACTCTTTAGGTAATCTTCATTCGCATAACAATAGAGATTGAGGGGACGGGTTTGGTGCTCTAGCATCGTATGTTAAAGTTCCTATTTACAAGTATTGAATAACATGTATGTAACACACTCGCACTAGGACTCTATCTTATTCCCTTTAGAGGGAGGAGGATTGGCTATCCTGCTGCTGACCAGTGGGAAATTCTGCTAGAGACACTGCAAAGTTTGCGGACACGTCTGCACCACCTCTCCGTTCCCACAAACCACTCACTCACTTGGATACTTTTCAGATTAGGGGTCCCAGATCTCCTGGAAAAAGTACAAAGGACAGGGGTTGTGCACTCCTTTGTTCTAGCAAATCAAATCGTCATCCTTTAGACAATGACAGAGTTTTGTTTAGACACAAGGTGGACATGGCAAGATCTTTTGGTGGACTAAGTTCTGCTAGTGGAAGTGATCTCCTTATAGCTGGGAAGTTGAAAACTTTCCACTAGCAGAAATTAGTCCAATAAAAAGGTATTACCTCGCCTACCTCTTCTCTCTCAAGTCCTGGGAACAGCAACTGATTTTGTTTGTACGTTATTTACCAAACAGCAAGTGGAAGAAACACTGGAGGCAACTATCTCATTAGTGTTACAACTTCCAAAGGACCCTGATGAGCTGCTCTTCAGTTACCACAACAGAGGAAGCGGGTGGAGGGGAGAGGAGATTGTTTTCCCAGACTGTTTACTAATATACAGAGCCAGTCACGAGCGTATCCCCCCTCCTTCTGCTGCATCCTTCATCAAAACAAAACCTCCCGGCCCCCCACTCCATAAGGAACGATGCTAGATTCCGAACCTGAAGTACACAGTGCAAATGATCGTCTTGGTTGACACAGCAGAAACACATTTTAAAGGACGAAAAGTTAAAAAAGACGTGGAATAAGAGATTTTCCTAACTGGAGGTTTTTTTGTGGTTTTTTTTGCATAAATTCTTGCCAATTTGTGTAATCATCTAGCACTTTGTTTTCCCCGGTGCAAATGACAAGGTTACTTCGCTGAGGGCAGTACGATCTGACGACGCTCCTAGCAGACAGGTCAAAAGTTTCTCCAAATCCAGCATAGCACATTTGGAAGAATTAATGTCAAAGCTTCGCTGGGGCACGAGGGCGTCTCTCTCTCTCTCTCTGTTCCCACTCATCAGATTTCAGGGCTGATTAGATGAACCCAGGCCCTCGAGACATTTGCACACACCGGTTAGAAGCGAGGCACTCCTCCCCCCTCTGCACATGTAAGCTCGCTCTTGCTGGGCCGGGATCCGAAGGGCTCTGGATGGGGATGCGCCGCCTGAGCGAGGGGCTGCTAGAGGCGAGGGCGAGGTGGGGCGAGTCAGGGAGAGCGGAGCTTTCCCTGAGTCATCTGCCAGGTGCTGGGGTCCTGGCCTGGGCCGGAGAGAAGTGGGTCAGTGGAGCAGCGCATGCTAAAGCCAGATGCCC